TGTCTATGACTGCATTCGTTCATTAGAGTGGAAATATTGGCATTGTTCCTGATTGGTGGAGATTAGTGAAAAGGAGGCGATTCAAAAGAACATAGGATTGTGTGGGTTAGTTTTACAATGGCCAAGGCATATTCTACGTTGAGTCAACAACCGATTCTTATTTTACGAACGGTTATCGCATCACTTTGGTTGGGTAACGCATTATAAAAATTATCTGACAAACGCGTCCTAAAACTTCTGCTGGGGTTGATCCCGACTTCAAAGCTTTAAGTGAAATATATAAGCAACTGTCGCATCTACACAAAAACTTACTGAACAATTCTTTTTGAAATGTGCAAAAATCCAGATTCTTCCATCATAATATCGGCCTCATCGAGTACGAACATACGAAGGGCCATGCGATCAATGTGGTAAGCACCCGTTCCCCGCATCCACAAGGAAACGGTTCCAGCAGTTCCAATGACCACTTGGTTTTTTACGTTGCCATCCTGATCAGTCTCAGCTAAAAAACATGAAATGCGAGCACTCAACAACGGCTAATCATGAACCTTAATATTACAATATAAAAATAGATTTAAAACTAATTTTATGGAGAACAAAGTCTGATAACATTACAATACCAATCTAGATAGTGGAAACTTACCTCGGTGCAAATTAGCATAGCATCCATTTTAAAGTCCATTAAGAGTGTATACGTTTGAATTTTAACTTCTCACCATTGGCAACGACAGTATTGCAACCTATGGCTTGAGGCTGTAGTGATGCTACTACTTTACAACCCTATTGTGAGTCGACACCCACAGAACCCGATATTACTACAAAGTCATGATAAGTCGACACAGACATTGACAAAAATTATTTTTGACTGCAAATATTGAAAGGAGGCTGTTAGAGACTTAGATGGTTATTAGACATGGTGAGTCACCTAATGTCTAGGTTAAGTTAACCACGACAGCGCAACTTAAGCGAGGATCTTAAAAATGTCATTTCTATACATCGAGAGACCGATCACGTCGCCCGAAGTACTGACTTGGTCGCGGGAACACCCTCCCTTACACGGGGTAAAATTAGCTTTTACATTACCCTTGTCATTCACCTCAGGATTTACGCTTTGTTCTTTAAAGACATCTTCAAGCAAAACATGGCCCCAGTGCGATTTTGACCCTAATGGTTTTTTTACTGCATTGCACAATGTACGTACTTCCAGAATACGAACCAAGTTTTAGTAGGTTGATAACTGGGGTTTAATTCTCAGATACGTACTAGTGACCTGACTCAGACGCTTGATGTTTTCGCTGTTACGAGTATGCTGGGACTTTCAACATGCTTTCATCAGATGTGTCAACTTACGAACTTCTCCGCGGATGGCTAGGCCGAAGGAGATTTGGGGGATGAATCTGGCCATTTCCCGTCCGACATTGGCTATTTGCATGGCTAATTCACGTGTGGGAGCCAAGCAAAGACACTGGCATCGCTCGAGGTTGGCATCCGCACGGCTCAGCATTGCAAGAAGGAAAGTGGCAGTTTTGCCAGTGCCGGATTGAGCTTGAGCGATCATGTTACGGGGTCTAAACAAAGCAGAGGTGGAATGTGTGCCGCAAGTATGCACAGAAAAAAAAGAATTATTTGGGCAAATGCATCAGATTAATAATTACTGGGCAAGCTTACCACATGGCAATTTTCTTCTTGACCACAAAAATGCCCGAATCTACATTCCCAAAGAGCTACGTGGAAAATAGCTATACTCTATTACTTCACTTACATGGTAAAACCATGAGGTACTAGATGGCATTAGGAACAACCCGCTCGGTCATATTGTAAGAAAATCGTGGTAGCAAACTGTCGTTAGTAATCCTATTACTGCGACGACATCAACTACCTGTCATGCGTTCAAAAATGCATTAGCAACTTAAAGTTATTTCAAAGTTACACTTCTTGTTTCATGAGATTTCAGTTAAAGATACGATTGATCCCATACGGCGTTTTAAACAACGTGTTACCTGAAGCTTAACGCTTTGCATGACCAATGAATGGAAACTTCACCTTGTCTACATTTTACTAGAGCACAGATAAAACAGGCCTATTGCGATGACAAGTGAATTAAAATTTGATGGGCATGCTTTGCATCACACGTACCTGTCACCAATTAGATAGGGCAAGGCCTTTTCTTGGATTGCCGATGGCTTATAATATCCAAGTGACGCGATGCCTTTCAGAAGTCGCGGATCTCTAGTTATTGTTAAACATCAAGAATGAACCCACAAATCTAGGTCCTGGAAGGTTTTAGCTGAATGCAGTGGGCTAGACGGGTCTTCTCGTAACATCTCAATATCACATGCCTGTGTTTCCACAAGTTTTGTGCTGAGAAGCTTATTGATGTAGGACTTCTCAGCTTTGCTAACTTCGGCGTCAGTTTTGTCAACTGCCTCCTCAATATTTGATGATGTTGAAGAATCTGATACACTCTTGACAACAATGGGTCGCAAGTTAACGCCACTGGCCTGCTGAAGAGTCGGAGGTGGAGGCAGGGTAATACCTTTGTCGATAGCCTGGATTTCGGCCAAAAAATCCTTCCATTTGTCATTGTCTGCCATGTTGGCTTCTAAAGTGCAAACCAAAATAGCCCCGCACATCGTAAGATTTAATAAAGGTCTATTGCTCTTTACAATTAAAGAGGTTAAATACAGGCCATACACATCTAAATAAAGACATGAAACCTGAGTTATACAATAGAAAAACGGTACAGCAGCAGCATTTTGCAGTTAAATCAACAATAAATAACAAATAATCAGCCTCATGTAAAGGTTTGCGTCCCGGCGAAACACAGCTTTGGGCAAACTAGCCTGAGGAGATGAAAACAATATGACTTTTGCAGTAAACGCAAACTTCTTTCTCAAACAACGATACAATTTATACAAAATTTAGAAGATAATGGCTCGGAAAAGTGTAATTTAAAGGAGCACATTAAGCCTTTTTAGGCCAACTAGAAACAGTGGAATAAAAGAGCGGTAATAATTCTGCAGCCAAGATTGGCTAGGGCAAATATCATTAAAAAAACTGCGAGACATGGCACGAAAAGACATTTCCGGGAACTTTTCATCAACCTTACGCCATCGGCGCTGTACTAGGATAAAAAAATGGGCCAGTGTTTAACAAGGGGATTACATAAACTTCATTGAGTGGGTCGAAGATGTTATCAACAAAGGGTTGGGGTGACACCTATTATTGGCGATTAACACAATTTGAGTAACCTTGCAAACGAGAGCGGACTTTGTGTGTTTTCAAACCATAAATCAGGAAAATTAACACATATTTTAAGAAACTTACCTAAAGAAAGCTCGTCGGCACAAAAAGGTTACGCACAGATGCCACTGTTTCTAGAGGATCCAAAAAGGGCCCTATGTATTTTAGTGGATTATTGTAAATAAAGACATTGGCCGCCGTTTATAGTAATTTACCCGACTCGGGTCTAAACACGTTTTTAGGCCACCCGCTTTTCGAGTTACACAAAGTAAACTAATTACCGCTAATGGTCTGTTTCAAAGTGTTCGTCAAACAATTATAACACGCGGAAAAGTCCTTATTTACCCGTCTTTTAATAATAAACAAAAAAATACCAGACCAATTTAAAGGAACCTTGTTACTTTCCCTGTTCATTTATATGCACGATGATCAAATACAACAATTCAATAGCCCGAAAAATAAAAAAAACACAACTAGTCAAACAAGAAACTCCCAAATAAGGGCCTTGATCTACCATAAAGACTTCAGCACCACCACCAACAAAACTTTCTGGTGTGAAAAAAAGAAAAAGCCAGTACAGGAAACAAAACAACTAGCTGGTTCTATGCATTTCGGATGCGCAGTGTCCATCCAAATTAATCAAACAGAACAACCTAAACACGTGCTTTGTTGGCACAATTTTTCTGTTTATCTACGTGAAATGCTCTGTGGCAGCGACATCGTGGCATTTCAAAATTAGGTTTGCTTGCCCTCTGTCCATAACGTCAAGAATTAAAGCAAAACAGGCCAGGTCAAACCAACCCACAGTGCTCAATGCAGAAGCGAGAAGAGCATTCGCACACCACAGCTGTGGCGAATCAAAAAACCCGGCACGTCGACTTAAACATGGAAATTTCACAGATTAGAAGGGTTTTGTATACGTACACTTATACGGGATTTTTTGTAATTTAAACATATTCTAAGGGTAAAATACCGGAATTACTTCATGATCAAATGAAGACTACTGTGGATTTAATAAGAGTATAATAAAAGGCCAAGATAAACGAAGGTGCAATTTCTAAGTAAAATTTTTCTAATATCAGTTTATCTGAAAACACTTGCATCCATAGATATAACTGCAAGTTTCTATAACGAAACTTGTTATATTTTGGACGGACATTCTATTTGCTTAAATAAGATTTTGAAATCGATGTACTATAAAACAGCATTTATTTAACATGCGAACTTTTGACAACTGCAAAAGAGTAAAGTAAACCAGGTATTATTACTAAGCCGTCTACAGTAAAAAAAAACAACGCCATTTTATCGCTGCAGCCTGGCGTATTATCGATGCATTTCTTTTACTTCGATTTATGGATCTCTTAATTGATGCCTGTATTGAAGTGTCTGGGTGCGCCGCATTTCATCGACTGAGCTAAAGTTAAAATTTTAGGCTCCATGTTGTTTAAACGACACATGTAAAATGTGAATTCTTACAATTCGCAAATAATCACGTGTTACTATCTTTCATCAGGCTTCTCCATGGAACTAAAATAGGCTATATTTTTGCCATCTGATTTTATTTTGAAACCATGCTTACCGTGTGGTGGTTTTTTACAGCCTACTTTTATCCGTGAGTAGTAAATGTAGCGATCTTTCTTTATATTGTTTTTTCTAAGGCTTTAAATTACAATTGTAAGCTTTGTTCACAGAACATACTGCTGACATTATTTTAAATTACGAACGTTTATCAGGGAGCTACTTTACAATGTATCTTGTGTAAAATTACAGTGCATAGAATTGTCTAAGGATAACGGGAAGATTTCAAATGAAACATAATAAAATCTAACTGTGGTTTCTTAAATATGTTTGATTCATTTGGTGTTATCGCTGCATGAACAGATGCAAAGTATTCAAAGAATAAAAAATACTGCAGGAAAAAAAGATCTAAGAAAAAGACTAGTTTTGAGTGTGCTTTTATGTATATCGAGTAATTTTAAATGTAATGGCGTTCAAGCTAAGAGGTCATGCATGTTTACTTTAGGCAACAGGGATGCATGGGTCATCCAAAGAGATAAACTACAAAGACTTCTAAATGTGCATCAAGTGAAATAGTATCCAGGAAGTGACATAGTTCAACATAGCTTCCCCTCATAGCAAGTTAAGACACCGAATATTTGCTTACTTGACAAAAGCAGAATAGTATATGGGTGGGTAGATGTCAAAAATGGATCGACAATTATCCGCAATTTTTTTTCTCGATTTTATGGTTTCCAAAAAATAACACGGATGGCAAAGAAGCTTATGCAATGAAAAGGACCTTAAGTCATTCTGGGATCAGGTATGGCCGCTTTTGTGTTAAATATTGTACTAGTATGGACCGTCTGACGTTCCGTTTAAGGCTGTTAAGGAAAAAAAATAAACATGATCCAAACATTTGTAGTAGCACTCAATGCGTTTGTATGTAAATATGTGTAAATCTTGTTATCACTCTTTTTATTTGATCGATATAATCTGTGATTACAACGAGCATGAGTGGAATTACGTTGAGACCTTGTTTGCTAGTAAATACTAACTCACTCTAATTTCGTTTACAAGCCTATGTTTTGAAGAGTCGTGTGTCTAGTAATTAACTAAGTTAGCCTCAGTGTGGTTAACGCTTTGGCTCTCGAATGTAAGTGTTGTGGGTTGCTGAACATGGACTTAATGTAATTCCACTGTGGCATTTTACTTTCCAGACTTCAGAGATCTCAACAGACCGTTTGGCAAACACATACGCTTGTCGGTTTATTGTTGCATCTGGTAAAGGTTGTCAACCTGTAGGGTTCCGGTTGGATTGTAGATGTGAATGTGTTTTACTGGTCAGGTGTGTGGTATGCCTTGGTAGGCGAGTTTGTGATCAGGCGTATCCGTGTAAGCCGTGGTACGCTTAAACAGGGAGTTAAATGTGTGGACATGTGTTGAGTGGAAAGACGGTCGTGAGTACACGTGCTTTTAATTTCGATGGGAAAACAGGACTCGGCCTTTATTGGTGGAGCAGTCCATAGTGCAATGTGGGTAGAAGGTTGTCTTGACATTTTTGGAATCTAAAGTGTGACTGTCAAATCGCTGACATATCATGAGTGTCTGCAGCAATGACTTCGTCCTTGTCGTGCACCACAAGGACAATCTAAGGGGATGACTAGTTTAGGGTGCATCTTCGTTGCTATGAGAAGCGTTTTTACTTAGATCAGTGGAAGTCTTCCCTTTCGACCTATCGAATTCCAGTTGGGACGGGAGGTAACAATTCCATCATAAGGATTGGGTCTGTGTACTGGTTAAACGGCCATCTTTTACCAAGCTATTGAATTGAGGTTGGTGGGTTGGGAAGCAACAAGCGAACACACGTAAAAATCGTGAGCGAATGCAGTTTGCAAGCGTGAATGCACTTCACTTAACTGTGATCGTCCAGGGTTCTATGCTTAGCGAAGCTATGTAAACGCACATGTTATCCTGTACAAGCACACCCTGCTACTGCATCAACAAATTGGTTGAGCTACGCGCCATCTTCATTTTCCATTCGTATTTCGGTCGGGCCTTGTCAGTGTAAATCGCCAGCCGTGGTGTGGTTCCCCGAAACCGAACTTGGGTGCTGCAACAGTTATAATGCCGTTTGTTTCCTGTTAACGGAAGAGTTTGTAGACTTGACTCGGAATGCTTTTCTCTGGCCCCATGTCACGCTGGAAAAAACTCAAAACAAAGCAAATAACTTGCCACTGTCTCGGTAAAAATATCTTACATAAGGAATTTGTCATGTCATCAAGTGAAAAGATCGATGCACTTACACGATAACGGTAACCAAAGGCTAAGACAAAGGTTACATGATATCAATGTTTCGGGATTAAACCTGGCTTTTGAGACTCTAAACTGCACGAAATGAGTCTTTCAGCGTTTGTTTACCTTCGTGATCAGGCAGATTTCAGGCAATTTGTGCTCACCGCAGAACATCTTGATAAATGCCAAGCTACACACTAAACTCTGAAATCTGCTTCCCTGTTGTCTTAGGTGAACAAGATTGCGGCTCACGGATCCGGGAATGATGGGTCTGTGTGCACCGGTTGAAGTGTCGCACATCACGGTGGTGTCTGCACATGTAGGAGAATAGAACTCCAAATTAGAACACCAAAGCTAATTTGTGTTACCAGCACTGTGGTAGTTCATCGGCAAGCAGTTGCAATATTCTCGCAATCCTCGTGGGACCTTGAGATAACGGAGTCGGTGTGCAAATAGTAAGCTGCACTAGCTACGGCTCTGTCCGAGTCGTTGATGTGGCTGATATCGCTTGACAACCGTACGGTACAATCCACGTTTCGTGATTTTCGGTGGAGGACGA